CATGAGAACCAGGGCTTCCACCAAGGCGCTGACGCCAACGTCTGTCCTGGACCTCAAGACCTACCCGTGAACTCTGTGCCCAAGTGGCTGACGTAAATGTCTGCCTTCTTGCTCTTGAGAACTTCCGCTGGCCTTGACTTCTTTCAATGCACCAACTTTACTGGGGCACATGTATCCCGCCACAGCGTCCTGCTCTTCCCCAATAAATGCCCCTATTCTTGGGAGAATCTCTCTGATCGTTATTTACGTTGACAAGGATACAGCGAACGACCCAGAATGGCCAAAACAGATTTGAACAAGAACAATGAAACTGAAGTGCTAACATTCTAAGAACTGGTAATCCAAACACGGTGGTACTGGCGTAAACACGTGAAAAGCTCAAAGGAACAAAACAGAAATAAAGTTATGCGTCTACGGACAACAGACTTTTCACAAAGGTACCACGGTAACTCGGTACAGAGATGATAACTGCTTGAATAAATCAGGTGGGAACAACTGGACGTCCACACACAAAAAGACAAGTGGGACTTGGATTCATACCTCACACTTTTGTAAAAATTTACTCCAAAAAAGATCATGGATCTAAACATAAGAGTATGATATAAAAACATAAGAGAGAATCTCTGTGGCTTTTGGACTGTGCCAAGATTCTTAGATGTGGCATCCATTCATTCATCTCCAGACCAACCAGAGTCCATCAAAAAATCTTAGGATTTGTTCTTTAGATGGCAGCTAGAGAGAGAATGAGAAGAAAACCCACAGATGGAGAGAGTCTTTGCAGAGCAGGCCCTGCATGAGGGGCCCACCCAGAACACCTAAGGAACTTCCAGAATCCAACAGGAGGCAAACAGACAATCCCACGAGAAAAATGATGGGCAAAGATCCGAACAGACTTTTCACGGAGCAAAATGTCAGAGCACAAAGAAGCCCGTGGGGGACGGCGGACCCCATTAATTGCTGGAGAAATCTCTAGAGAGCACCCCCCACTTAGGAGGCCAGGTGGAGTGCTGACAGGGACGTGGTGGCCTCGCACAGTGGTCCTTGGGCGGTTTTTAAACATCTGAGCACAGGCCTCTCCCGTGACCCTGTCATCTGCTTCTAGGCCTCTTCCCGGGAGCAAAGGAAATGCGTCCGGGTGGCAGACCTGGTGGGAATGAACACGGCAGCAGTGTGCATCACGGACACTGGAGTCAGCCCTGTGTCCTTCAGCGGAGGACTGGGCAAGGCAAGGGTGGTAGGCCCCCGCCGTGGCTGAAGGACCGACATCCTGTTGCATGGTGGGGCGGATCTCAGCCAGGACCCAACCTGCTCCGGGTCTTCACCTGCACCCCCCCCCCCAGGACGGGAACGGGCCAGCACTCGTCGCTCAGGAAGGGGGTAGGGAGGTTGGGGGGACCTCAGGCGTGTCCTCTCCTGACGGTGGTTTCGTGGTGGTGACACATGTCAAGACTGATCACACCGTCCGCTTTAAACATGTCTGTCAATTATACTTCAAAAGAACTGCTTCCAACATTCAAAGGCAGATGACAAGTTGGAAAGACGTGGAGTCGGCTGTGACAGACAAGGGGTAATGCAGTGAAGCCGCTAATGCACCTGCAAACACAGCCGCCGAACGTCACCACCTGGATTAGTCAGCAGGGGCTGCAGGGACAGCGCCAGGGCCCGCGGCTTCCACAGCAAACAGCCACTCTCCCACATCCTGGAGGCCAGCCCCACCCACCTCCCTCCTGGCTGTGTCCTCCCCAGGTCACACGGGGGTGACCTCCTCTTGTCCCCCAGCCAGGGGCCTGCCAGGAGCTCCAGGCAGCCCCAAACCTCCTCTTCTCAAGGACCCCAGTCATCCTGGATCGGGGCCCCCCTACCCAGCATCCTGGGGCACACGGGTGGACCTCAGACTCAGTCACCTCTACAAAGACCCCATCTCCAAACGCGCGTTCACATTCTGAGGAGCGAGAGGTCAGGACTGGCAACAGAGGAGTTGTCGGGGAGGGTACAGTCCAGCCTTTAGGAAAAGAAGCCACAGACACGGACGAGTCAGATTCGGAAGTGCAAACCTCGCAGGTCCACAGCAGAGCCCAAAGGCTCCCCAGCCCACCAGGGAAGAGGACCTTAGGGAGCACGCAGGGTGCCAGCAGCCATGATCAGTCCCCGGGCACCCTCGCCCTCCAGGGCCAGGAGACCTGGGGAGAAGCCCGAGGCTGTCCAGCAGGGGCCGAGGCCTGGGGACAGGGCCCCTGGACCCACAGTACTAGATGCGCCCTGGCCCTCTGGCACCCTGTGGCCCCCACAAATAGCCCCACAACCTGGGCTTCCTCAGACCCCCAAAGCCACCACACAGGACAGGACCCCAGGAGGTGCGACTGCAGCCCTCCCCTGGGCTGTCCTGTGACACCAGAGATATCTGACACTTTCCCAAACAGAAGAGCCCTTACCCCTGTGGGAGACTGTGCCCGGGTAGGGCAGGGCGGGTCAGGGGTACGACCCGCACCCAGCAGAGCTGCCTGCCGGGCACCAGGGCTGTGGAGCAAGCTGCTCCCGGGACTCAGGGCTCAACGGTGGGTGCCTCCTCTCCAGGACCCCCCTCTCACCCCATCTCCCCACTCCTGCCCTCTAGGGAAACTTTCTCAGATTCCCAAGGAGGAGGTGGGAGAGGAGAGTGTCCTTCCCACACACAGACTTGGGCAGCCACAGACCCCAGCACTTGAAGTGTCTTCTCCAGGGGACATTCTGGCAGCTCCCGCCTCCTGCCCCCCTCCCGGAGAGTTTTCCTTCTCCTCCTAGCCAGGGTCTGTGGCGCTTCCACACATTCCACTGGTTTGTTTGGTTTGGGGAACGTGTGCTCACAGATACAGGATTCCTTGGTTTGGTTCTTTTTTTTTTTTTTTGTACTGGGGATTGAACCTGGGAGTGCTCTGCCACTGAGCTGCTGAGCTACACCCCTAGCCCTTTTAATTTTATTTTGAGTCAGGATCTCACTAAGTTGTCCAGGCTAGCCTTGAACTCGTGATCCTCCTGCCTCAGCCTGCCCCAGAGCCAACCATAAATCCCCCAAATATTTCTCTAACCTCCCCCATCTTTCTTTGTAGAAGCCAGTCCTAAGAATTCCTCTGACTGGCCAGAGAGGTCCAGAGACCCTCATTTCTCCTGTACCCCGGAGAAAGACTCGCCTGCCTCGCAGAGACCAAGAAGAATCTGAGCAGATGGCCTGACCGGGCTGCCCTGAGCATGGTACCCCCCACCAGTAGGCACCCTGCTATGTGGCGCCTGGACCCCCCCATCCCACACAGGGCCTGGACACGGGCTCCTCCAGTGGAAATCCCCTTCCCAGGAAAACTGCCCCCGAGTTCCCCTCCTTATTCTAGATAAAATGATCGTTGACATCATTGAACAGGACAAGGGGGCTCCGGACCCTCCCAGGGGCTGTTTCCTTCCAGCACAGCCCTCCTATCCACCAACTCCAGTCTCCCCACTTGCCCTGGGCTCTCCTCAGGTCCCCATCCCTATCTAGAGGCCTGGTCTCCCTCTATGGGCAGAGCGGGGACCCTTTTCCCCTACCGGGGGACTCCAGACCCTGGGTTTGCTGGACAGCCCCATCTCCCAAGGACACCTAAAGACTATGGGTGCACATAGGAGTAAGCCAGCCTGCTGGGGAGGCTGTAGTCAAGGGATTGAAGAGTGGCAGAGAGCAGCCTGCCGACATGAAACTCAGGAAAGGAAGAGAGAGTGGGGCCTGGGGACAGGCAGGAGCCTGCAGTCCCCTCCTCCCCCATAGGAGGTTCCTGGTTGCAGCACAAGTCAGGGAAAAGAGTGGGGGGCAGGGGTCCCCTGAGCGAAGGCCTGCCTGCCAGAGGCTGGAAGAGGCCCAGCCTGGAAGGGGGATGGTCTGACCGAAAGGCCTGGAGAGGCCAGGGGGCCTCTTGGAGGAGGCCTGGCTGGGGAGCCAGCCCTGGGGAGTGTGCAGGGCTGCTGGTGAGCCGGCCTGGCCAGGAGCTGGAGGAGGCGGAGGGGGAGGGTCCTGAGAATCCTGAGCGGGCAGCAGTAGCCCCTGGCCAGGTGGAGCGAGAGGGGCACCAGCTCACCTTATCACATGTGCCCCCCAGGCTGTGACTTAAGTTGCTTGCTGGGAGGGGAGAGAGTAAAGGGCACTGGGGTGTGGGGCTGCGGCATCCTGCTGGGGTTGGGGTGTGGGGGCAGGGGCAGTTCACAGGGAGGGGGGGATTTGAAGCCCAGATGTCCAGGGTGGACCTCATGGGGCCGGTGCGAGTGCGGGTGTGGGGAAGAGGTGGGCGGAAGGGATACGGGCGGTGGGGGGGATACACCGTGCAGGGCCTCCCAGGAATGCGGGGCTGGCGGTGTGCGGGAGATGTTGCCCAGCGAGCGCAGCAGGCGGGGCCGGCAGGGCAGGATGCGGTGTACTGTGCGGGGCAGTGCAGCGCCTGAAGATGCTTGGCTCAGGGCGCTGGGGAGTGTGGGGCCCTGCCGAGTGGAAGCAAGGGCTGGGGGTGGGGCAGAGCGCTTGCTCTGCAACGTGAGCCGAGGCGGAGCAGGGAACGGTGGGGGGCTGGCGCGGGACTGTGCGGTGCGGGTCGTGGAGG